TTTGCAAAAAGTTATTAGAAGACTACCAAGAAAACCCAAAGCAATTGAAATGATACAAAGTGGTAAAGAACATAAGACTCTTCTAATGCAAAAGTTTTGTTTTCAAGAACATTTCCAAGAATACTTTGGAAATTGAAATGATACAAAGTAGAACAAAATAACTGAAGTCTGTTGTCCTTCATTATTCCCAGCTCATTTTAGTATACTTGCGAGGTGTACATATGTGCATGAAGAACCTTGAATCATCGATGCCTATCTCCCGGGGGTTTTCGGTGCTGCGCATGCGCAGTTTTGAGCTTAACCCAGATTCACTCGGTGTTCGTGTCGGGCTTTCGGATTGCGTGGCTTGTTGCATTTGTTGACTGGGCACAGAATTGGCGGCCTTTTGTCGGGTGAAAATTGAGGTGAAAGGCGTTTTTGCGGGCTACTGTTCGGAGCGGAGGAGAGATTTACTTTCGGATTTGGCCCATTTGGTAGATGATGGGTGGATAACCGCTGATTTGTATTCATAAAGTGCTGCTCAGTAGGTGGCTGATGGCTAAATTGTCTCGTTAAGATTGTTAGCAAAATATATGTATACTTTATGACTTGTTTGTTGGCCATTTTGTTTTAATATTTTATTTTAATTGCATTCATGTCGTTTTTAAACACTTCTCCATTTGATTTATCCATTAAACACATACATAAAAGTAATGCTTTATAGTTCCCATACCCATCAACATGTCAATGAAATCCATATGAATAATTTAAATTTCCTTTTGAAAAGTTTTCTTTAAATACTCTTCCATTAATGCCAACAGTCAGAATGTTTTCAATTTAGAACCCCTCTTTAAAAGACCCAAACAATTTAATTAAATTGTGATGAGTGTGGTGTGCGTGGTATCTTGACTACAATTGAGTTTGCTTTTGTTTGTCGGGGAGTTTGTTTTGAATTTCTCCAACATTTAATTTCGTTTGCGCACCAAAAACAATTGAAATTTTTTTTTATTATTCAATTATACTCGAGCCGCGGCAGTAAACGCATTTTGTTAGGAGGGGAAGTGGGGAAAACGCGCGTATGCACTTCCAATTTGTATTCGGCAGCAGTTCCAGAGCCCAAAATCGAAGCCAAAGTCCCCAAAATCGGAATCCGAATTCGATTCCGAATATCCCCTATCGACGTCATCGTCTCCTCGCCTTGTTTATCAATTAGGCACACATTCGATTCGGTTCGCTTCGATTTTGGTTTTCGGTATTAGTAGGAATGCCTTTTCCTTCACCAAAGTGGAAATCCCCGCCCCTTTGGCCACGCCCTTGGCTGCACTAATCTGTTTATGGCATCGAGATTCTATTAATATTTCGCTCTCTATTTTTTGGGGGCCCCCTGTTAAAGTGTTGGAAGTTTTACGATGGCATCCTAAGGAACTTTGCCCAAATGGAGTTTGGCATATCTTCTCTGCTCGAGCCCCAGGCAGTCATAATTTAAAATATTTAAATGCCCCGGGCCATAATTGAAGAATGCAATGGCCCAACGACCACTTGAGAAGGTTTCACATTTTTCATCATTCAAATGGTTTGAGCTATGAAAATGGTTTTCTTTCCCCATTCAAAACGAAATTCAATGTGAAGTTCATTGTAAAAACTAAATGCTTTATCCATTGGATACATTTCATATTTTTATGGCACGCCAGCAGTTATTAATAAAATTTTTTGTGGGCTCTGTTGATTGTTATATGGTAGTGGAGGAGATTCAGATTGGTGGCGAGGGTGACAGATCGGAGAGGCATTTATTTATTAACCCCACCTTCTTTTATTTTACCCCATGGGGGTTGACAAGTGACAAATGCAGAGAAGATATAAAATTATATGTGTGAGCCGAAATCGAAATCAGTTTCAAGCCTGCGGGCCTTCCACATTTTTCCTTCTTTTACCCCCTGGTGGAAGATTCAAGCAAACCAGTCCAAACAAACAGAGTTTATGGCAGAGAGACCAAAACATCCTTAACTCACACCAAACCTCATCCATCCATCGGCATATTTGGTACATCAAAGTACGCGACGACATCAGTTCGTCAAAAAAAAGAAAATGAAGCGGCACCGGGTTGTAATTTGTTCCTTATTTTAGCAACGAAATCCATCATCACTCGATCCATGACCCGTGCGATGATTGACGGACGAACGGCCTGGTTACCCTCGGTTAGGAACCCTTATGCCATATGTTTGCCTCCGGCTCAAGTCCCCGACTTGACTTGGTTTTAGCGTGCGATAATTTCACAGTTGTTGAGAGTTGCACTGAAAGAAAATGTTTTATTTAGAGTAAAAAAATTAAGAAATTAGGTAATAAGGTATATTCAACCAATACCAATATTATCTATATCAAATTTTTATCGTAATATAATTTTATAATGATTTTTTTACTACAAAATGGTATCCTTACATTAAAAATCTTCGAATTTTGGTATTGAATTTAATTCTTTTGCAACAGAGCAAGCAATATCATCGTAATTCTGAAATTATCAATCTTTATTATCAATTTGATAAGATTTTCATTTCTATAATGAACATTATGATATGATGTGATAACGAATCTCGTAATCATTATATTTTTCCCAGTGCATAATATGTGAAATTATCCCTTCGCCGAGAGCTATCTTTGCGTGGGTGCTTCTGTTGTGTTCTAGTTTTAATGAGTTACCACTCGACGAAGTGTTCCAGGACGACAACAGTCCTTGAGGCGCCTCCTGGCGCCAGTTGTCCAACAATCTGGTGTCCTGAATTCTCGGATTGCCAACAGACATGCATTCTGGTGCATCCTTATCGCATTTTTTACAGCTGCTTATCAGCAGAGGAATTCGACACCCACTTGTAGATACTTTTACAGTTTGAAGAACTTTCTTTTCCTTGCACCAAAATAGAAAAAAAAGAAAAGTAGTTAAGTCACATGAGCTGGAAAAACTTTTTGATGCGTAGCTGGGGGTCTTGGCCATTCGACTTGCTAGTCATTTGAGCCAATCAATCACTCAAGTTTACTTTGGGTTAATTGTTTTCCGTAAACAATAAGCCAGAAATACCAAATACCGTCAAGCTCCCCTATCTCCATATGGTGATATATCCAGCAGATGCCTAGGGAAGGGATACATTTGGGTCAAAGGGAATTTTCATTAGTCTGCCAGTCATTAGTTCTGTTTTATGATGTCTCACCCATTAAGTAGTCTCACTTCCCATCCCTTTACCGGTCACACCCCTCAGAAATCCAATTCCCCACACTCAGCATTGCTTGGAATTTAATTTGGTTTTCCGATTTGCACGAAAAACATCTAAATAAACAAGGTTTTTTGATATAAATGAGCAAAAATCACGAATTGTTTACACATTTTTGTTCCACTCAATGAATGCCAAATTAAAAATGATACCTAAACAATGCAGGGTAAAAACTACATGCCACCTTTATACGTATTCAACAGCGTGTGATCCATCAATCACCTATATATAGAAAAGTGACCCTTGATATCTATGAGCTTTAGGCCTTTTTAGAAGCTTTCTCCCCTTTTTGCTTTCCCCCCTTAACAATATGTTATTTATAATCTTAATTCGTTAGACACATAATAAATGGGCTAACACCAAAATGTTTTTGGATTTGAATTTGTAAAATAATACCTGACATCGGCTAATTGTCTCCTTTTATTATTTATGTGGACTAAGACATGAACTCATAAAATTTCTTTTGACCCCCAAGAGATTTTATGCAAGCTAAAGATACAAATATAAACCGAAGAGTCATGGGCAAAAACGGGAACATTTTTCTTACAAGAAAGCAGAGCATAAATAAAGAGTATAAAAACTTATTTTTATATACATCACATTTTGAACAACTTGGCGGGCTCTTCATGATTTTGCGTTAAACGGCGAGCGTGGTAAAAATAAATACAACAAAATCTCGTTTTTTTGCAAGTACTTTCAACATTTTGTGACGCGTTGCGTCGTGTAAAACAAAAACCCCTGACGCGTGTGACATTTGGCGCTGGAGGTTGAGTTTTAAGCATGAAAAAAAGGGAGATGTGACTTGGCAGCCTGTGGAAAATTGAAGAGTTGTTTTGGGGGAGAAAGAACTGGGGTAACTTGGTCTTCTCGGTTTATTGTTTTCTCGTGTTGGCCCCAGGACTCGAGTGATTTTTGCCTTTGGGGTCTGCGTGTCCACTTTTTCACTTTTACAAACATACATCATTGTGGTTAGGATTGTAGAACCGGGAATTTAAAACCTTTTCGATAAAGAAAATGGAGATAAAAATGGAGTTGATAATCTAAATACTCTTTGAGTAAATGTTATCTTTGTTAAAAAAAGAAATGATCGGAAAAAAGTTAGGAACATTTTAGAAAGAATAGGAAAATCATTTGAAAGCAATATATTTTTCTAATCTAACCAGTTTTTATCTTAAAAAAGTAGTACAATAGCCATATATTATTTATTTTTCAAACGGAATTTAATTCCGATCTATTATCCTGACCGCGTCTGTTTTTCGCCCTGCATGCAAGTGCCAAGCGCATATGTATCTGTATCTGTGAGATACATGCCAGGGTTGTCAGACATCTGCGCTGTCTGGGCGGACTCGCATTAATTAGACGTGTTCTGTGCTTGTCCAAAAGTCTGGCCCGTATCTATATAATATTATTTATGGACTTGCTAATTTTAGCCCTGCCCCTGGCCTGCAAAAGAATGCCCCAGAGCGAGATGACTGATGCTCTGGGTCTTATCAGAGTATCTCAACATGCCCGCCAACATGTTAAATGATTATCAGAGCAGGGCATTCGCTCTGCCTTAATTTCGGGCTCAAGTTGTCAGTGTTTCAGATGCCTGGCGGCGTTGACTTTAAGCCTATTAGACACACCGCACTCCGGCGCAGAAAAGACTTTGTTCACCTTGAGGGGGGTGGAGAAAATGGGTGCGGCCCAAGTAGTTTGTAATTAACAGCATTTACATCGCCCTAATGAATGTTTTTCCCCCCTTTGCCTCCTCCATTGCAGCACACACCGCCGACTATGCAACCGTCCTCGACGAGTTCTCAACTCACTCTGTGATACGACCGCAGGTGGAACATGGACGCACAAAGCGCAGCCTGCTCACCACCCTGGATGCCACCGTAAGTAGCCAAGGACAGGGCCAGATCTTGGGGTAATTACGGGGTAAATTATGCCCTAGATGGGACATTAAATCATAATGTGCCTTTCAATCATTGTTCACTACTTTCTAAGGTCTGTAATTTAAAGAGTAGATTTTCATGTCATTTTGGTTGCATTTTAAAATTGTAACCTTCTGTTTTCTTAGCATGAATACATAGTAGTAATCCACACTACAGAAAGAATATTACACAAAAATGTGGAAACTGTTGCTTTACTGGTTTTAACTCTGTAGTGATTCTTCAGATAATTAAAAGAGTTTTTAACACAGTTTATATATCAGATGCAGGGGAAGCCCAACACACGTCCTAAAACTTTTAATATTATATTTATTTGCAAACTCTTTGAAAGCTCCTTGTTCAACTTTTGTGAGTGTTTGCTGTGTAAACATTAAAAATTTTTAAATGTTGAGCAAAAAATTAAAATGAACCCGAAAATAAAGTCTACCGGTAAAGAAAAAACGTGCGGTAAATTCTTTTAATGCCTTTAGGGCAAATATGTTTGGAGTTTGCTGGGTGCGCTGGCAAAAAGCCAAACCCGTTTTAATTAGTTTCAACAAGCAGGCACCCCACAAATTGTGGGTATGAGTTAAGGACAGAGGGGTGGAATTTTTCAGTTAACCCCTGCGGCCAACAGGACATTACACATTCGCACCTCGGCACTTCGTCACGCCCACAATTTGCATGCAAAAATTAAATAAATAAATGGGGATGACCGCGCCAACCAGGCCCAAATGGCTTAATCTTGTTAACGTTATCTCCCTGTTATTTTGCCCATTTTTTAGGACGGCCTTCACACGCCTCACATTAGCCTGAGCTACACCCACGAGGGCAAACGAGTAACCATCGACCTGCAGCGCAACGATCGCCTGCTGCCGGACTCCCACTTCCTGCGATACCAGAATGCCAGCGGAGGAGCCTCTCCTGGCCATGTGGTTCGCAACTTCACCAAGACTGAGGTTGACTTATGCCACTATCAGGTGAGTGAGACACATTCTCTTCGTTCTTCTTAAAAGTAAATTAACAGAAAGTAAACTAACCATTTTTCTAGAAATTTTAGAATTATAAAAATTGTTATCTTAATAAATATAGGAGATTTCTTTAGAAAAGTGTGTAAAAAAGATAATTCGATTAAATCCTATTCTTTCAATAATTCTATTATTAAAATATTTGCTATGTTTCTATAAATTCGTATAGCTGCTTTCTGCAACTTTTCAGCTCTTCTGAGCTTTATACTAATTTCCCTTTCATTTTTTTTTACCCACCTCAGGGACACATTCGTGGTCAACCAGATTCTGTGGTAGCCCTCTCCACCTGTGATGGTGCTCTGGATGGCATCGTTTTCGATGGCAGCCAAACGTACTTTATTCATCCCCATGTCGATGCTAAGGGAAGACTTCAGGATGACCATTATCTGCTCAGGTGAGTTGAAATTTACTTTCCAAAAGATAGATTATAAAAATGGCAGCAGATTAAGTAATTTTATCTGATTTATTTATTATCTGAAATAAGTAATAGATAAATATTAATATGTTCTAAAAAATATGTGCTCTAAAAAGTTCCCAATAAAAAAACTAGGCCATCGAAATCATTATAATAAATGGTATAACCACGTAATCAAAATTAATGGTGCCTCTTCCTCATTTCAAGATACCGAATTGGTATTACCGATCAAGGCACAATTCTGCTTTTTAAACGGTGCTTATCTAATCGGCAGTTTCTGGCGCTCTTTCGACCCAAGCGAAATATTGTTTGTTGACTGGTCATAAATGTTAGGGCAGTAGGGAAAATATATTTTTTTGGGGTATCAGAGGCCGGTCGGTTAGGGGTTTGTCGGCCAAATATTTACCTATTTGTGGGGCACAAATATTTGCCTGTTTGGGTATATTTGCCCGAGTTCCCTGACCAGAACGAAATTCTTAACCATAACCGACCCTATCCATTCATTCATTATGTTTATGCGCCACCGCCACTTCCGTTATTAATTTCTTTTGTTGTCCACGGAAATATCAAATTACCTTCGATTTGTTCTACGCAGACAGGCGGACATGCATCCAACGAACGCCACCTGTGGCTACGAAAGCCACAGGGACGACCATAGTCACGACCACGAAAAGGCTGAGGAGGATAATGGACTTGGAGGAGGGATTCCTTCACTGCCACTCCGCCTTGATGGCGGGGAATTCCAGAGAACCCTGCTCCGGAAGAGGCGTCAAACCGACGATAACAGTCAATTGATCCGGGGGCCCTACAATGCCAACAAGTACTCCAGCTACGTGGAGCTGGTGATCGTCGTGGACAACAAGGTGTACAAGGCCTACCAGGAGAGTGCCAAGAAGGTGCACCAGCACTGCAAAAATCTAGCCAACATTATCAATGCTGTAAGTAGAGTAATAATAAGCTCATTAACGCACTAAAACTAACCTTTAACTTGTATATTTTCCCAATTATGATCGATTTCTCAATGTCAGGTTAAGATCCAAGTTACTTAACTGACAGACAAATTAACATGAAGTTAAAAAGTGTTTATTAAGATAAAACCTAACATGATATTGAGAAACAAACTTTTTTCGAAGCAGCAATTTAACCCAAACACAACAATTAACATGAGATTGAGAAATCACCATAAATGGTAACTGTGTTATTATTTTTATTTTTTAACTTCACCTATCCATATAATTGAACTAATCTATATTTTTCCACCCTCTTTCAGCTCTATGTGCCCTTGAATATATATGTGGCTCTGGTGGGCGTGGTAATCTGGAACGAGGCCAACGAGATCGAGTTCTCCAAGGACGGCGACGTGACGCTCCGTAACTTTTTGAACTACAGGAAGAATAAACTGGTGCTGGAACACCCCAACGACAATGCTCAGTTGCTGACCAAGGAGGTCTTCGATGGCGGCGTTGTGGGCAAAGCCCTAAAGGGTCCGATCTGTACTTATGAGTACTCCGGAGGAGTGAGCATGCAGCACAGTCCCAACACGGCTGTGGTGGCCACCACCATGGCCCACGAGATGGGGCACAACTTTGGCATGGAGCACGACACACCCGAGTGCCACTGTAAGGATGAGAAGTGTGTGATGGCTGCCTCGAGTACCTCCTTTATACCGGTGAACTGGAGCAGCTGCAGCATAGATCAGCTAACGATAGCATTCTCGCGCGGCATGAACTACTGCCTGAGGAACAAGCCGGAAAAACTGTTCGAATCGCCCACCTGTGGCAATGGTTTCCTGGAACCGGGGGAGCAGTGCGACTGCGGATTGCCGGAGCATTGTGAGAACGCCTGTTGCAATGCCCAGACCTGCATGCTGCACGCAAATGCCTCCTGTGCCACCGGCGAATGCTGTGATCTGACCACTTGTCGTCCCAAAATGGCGGGCAGCGCCTGTCGAGAAGCTGAAAACGAGTGCGATTTGCCAGAGTACTGCACTGGGGAGTCGGAATACTGTCCCGCCGATGTTTTCCGGCGGGACACGGAGCCCTGTGATGGCGGTCAGGCCTACTGTTTCCACGGCACCTGTCGCTCCCATTCCAAGCAATGCCGGATTTTGTGGGGACCCACGGGCGATAACTCGGAACACTGCTATAGTAAAAACATGGAGGGCACTCGGTACGGAAACTGCGGCTACAATCGCCTGAACAGCACCTTTTTGCGATGCGAGGAGCAGCATGTAAAGTGTGGAATGCTGTACTGCATTCACTTAAACGAACGACTCGAGTTTGGCATGGAATCGGCAGCTGTACTGTCGCACTCCTACATCAGTCACGAACGCAAGATCGTGGCCTGTCGCACCGCCTTGGTGGACTTGGGCCTGCAGACTACCGATCCCGGACTCACACCCAATGGAGCCAAGTGCGGCGAGGACAAGATGTGCGTGGATCAGCGATGCCTGCCAGTTTCAGCGGTGCGGCAGAAGGGCATGGGTACTCCCTGTCCAGAGGATTGCAGTGGCAATGGGATCTGCAATAGTAGAGGCCACTGTCACTGCGATGTTGGCTTTGGCGGCGAGTCCTGCTCGAGGGATGGATCTGGAGGATCCCCGGACAGTGGACCAGCCACAGATCCAAATGGTATGTTGGAAATAGGCCGCACCAGGTCACACACTCACCGATTATTAATGTTTCCATTTATTCTTATCTAACCTATTAACTACTTTTGTTTTTTTTGCAGGTTCTCTGGGTCTCAAGAAGTTCCTGTTTGTGCTGTTCTTCTTTGTGTTTCCCATGGTGGCCACCTTTTATGCAATCTATTATTGCCACAAGAACGGATTATTTGCTCGCGGAAAGCTGGCGGACCATATGTATGTATCGACCTCCTCCTTCAGCACAGGCTCGAAAGGGGACAGCAGCTCCGACAGCTGCGACATCACCCATCTAGCCTATAAACAGACCCCCGCACGCTCTGCACCACCTCCACCACCACCTAGCACTAATCACCAATCTGATGGTGTTGTAACTAACACGGCCACGGCCACCATTACTAACATACACGCCATCCTGCCGCGCCACAAGTCCAATCCGGATGCAGTGCATCAGGTTCACATTCAGCCGCCCTCTGTGCCGAAAAGTCAGAGCACCTACGAGGTGCGGCGGAAGGGATCTGCTCCGAAACCGAGTGTCCTCCTGTTGTCCCCTCTCCCCAACTCCTCCACCTCATCTACCTCCTCCTCCTCCAATAACAATAACACCGAGTCACCTAACAAAAACAACCAAGACAAGAGCAACACGAACAACAGCACACTGAGACGCAAGCTGGATATCACTGCCCCACGGCTGAATGCCACCACAAATCCTCTGGCACTCACCGAGGGCGCCCAGTTCATACAGAGCGACCCCGCGAGGTGCGCCAAAAACTAAACTAAACACTATCTACAGTGAAATACGCTTGCACTGCCACAAAATACTGCATGACTTTGCGCTTGGCCGAGGGTGTTTTTAGTATCCTTGCAGAATATTAAGGATTCTACAGATCTTTGGAATTTTCCTATTTCGAAAGATCGTTAAAAAAGTTTAGTAGTATATTTTTCAAAGTTTAGTTCAATTCTGTTTAGAATACTCATAATCAAATAAAAGAGGAATTAGTTTTTTGTTTAAATTTTAAGCTAAATTTTTTAAAACAACCCATTCGAAACTGAAGGGATAGAACGACTTATAGACCTGTATATATCTGTATTATAAAAGCAAAACAAAGTTGGTTGTGAATTCATAATGCTGAAAGTATAATATACCGAGAATTTAATCATAACCAATATCAAAAGGAAATATTTAGGCATTCAATTATTATTTATGTATATATTCAGTTAATAGAAAAGCATTCCAAAATTTTAAACAAGCTATATATATGGGAACCTTTAGTGCCTTAGATCAGGGATGCAAAAATAATAAGATTTCGAAAAGATTTTCTCAGCATAATAAATCTGCAGGGGTATATCTTGAATTCGGATAGCCGAAGACAACTTTTTCGTTCATATTAACACACTGCCCGTTTGCACGATTGTGTTGATGCTATCATATAACCAAAACCCATAATCCCTAACGACTACTAACAAAACCCTAATATCGGTTATGTTTCTAGTTTAAGTTGACCTGATTTTATGTATGTTTCCAATAAATGCTTTGTTTTAATTTTTGGTGTTGGCTTTATTTTGTCTTGCTATATGTATGTCTTAACTTTCCTGCAAGATATGTTTTACTATCCCAGCACTGGTGTTTGGTTTATGCACGTTTTACAATTTGGTATGTTACACAGATACACTTTAAAGGCTTTGATTTCTAAACTTGTTTTCCTTATAATAATCTTTATAATTGGATGTCCTTGCAGCTTGAAATCCTCTGGAGGAAGCAAACCCATCACCACGCGCACAAATCAAAATGGTAGTGGTCCACCGCCGGGTAATGGATTACTGAAATCGACTCCGAGCAGTACTGATGATATGGACTCGGCGCTCTTGAAATCCCCGAGCGACTCCACACCCACAACTGGATTATTTGGAAAATTCGATGGTTTCACTCTGCGACCTCTAAACGATGCATCCTCGCCAGCGAGCAACTACAGTGGACCGAATGTGGCCTTTGTGCAGCCCACTGTGCAGCAGGATGGACCACAGAGGATAGCACCGCCACCGCCGGTTGTAAAGTCGGAAACTTCACCTGTTCATCCTTCGTCGCCGAAACCTGAAGCCACTTTTGTGAGACCAGCGCCTGCTTTGCCTCCGCCGAATCCTGGCTCAACGGCACGTCCCATCATCTCGCCACCCAAGTTGGATTCCAGTACATTAACCATGGTGCCGCTCAAGGGCAGTACGGAGGATCTCTCGCCCACTCGTTCCGCTCCAGCTCCACCAGTTCCCCTACACTCCGATCCTAAGCTGAATATTAAACGAGATGGCACTATACGCCGATTCGCTTCGTTCCTGAAAAGGAGGAAAAGCCACCGTTGAAAGAGAAGACCTACATTGATCGAGAGCGGTTGCGAACACTGGAAATCTCTGCACCCATGCCTGTGCCCGCTGCACCTCAAACGGAGTCCTCCAACTCGGACTCGGAGACCACGCCCCGCGAAGAGGAGACCCAGAATCTGGTGAAGCGAGCCCAATCCATGCGTTCGCCTACGAAAAAGACACCACTGCAGAGTTTTGGATCCATGCGTTCGCCTCCGGGACTGCCACGGCCCAAAAGTGGTCAGGTGAACAGCAGTGGCAGCTCGAGGCCTAAGTCGCCGCCTCCTAGGCCACCACCGGTGGTGGTGAAGAAAACCAACTCCATCGGCTCCTCCGGTTATCAGAGGCCAGTGGCCACTGCACAGAGATCGGTGGAGAATACCTACGACGACTGCGAGTACGTGGAGAACGAAGTGCGAGCCTCCAACGATGACATATACTCGGTGATAGATGAGATTCCACCGGCGGCACAAACCCTCAAGCGGAGCGATTTGGTGGCCAACAGGGCCAGTAATGGCAGCGACATGGGATTGCTGAATGAGATAGTTAATGAACTGGAAAAGATCAACGGGGACTCCATATATTCAGGGAAGCCCGTGGCTGGAGCAGCAGTAGCAGCAGTTCCACCTCCTGCAGATCCCCCAAAAAGTCCCCAGCGACCTGCTCCACCCAAGCCAGCGAGCAGTGTGCTGGAGGAAAAGGCAGCTAATGCATCTGCATCTGCAAATGCAACACCGTCTGCATCAGCTAGCACATATCATCGCCCGCCGTCAGTGAATGCTCCAGTGGCCCGAGTGAAGCCCACGGTGTCGGACAAATCGCAGCCGCAGCTGCAGCCCAGCATGTCCAGCTTCAAGCCGCCGGCGGGAACCGGCGGTCAGTCGCAGCCAGCGCCAGTTGTCCAACTGGCCAAGCGGAGCAGCAGCGGCAGCCTCAGCGGAGGCGCCAACTCCAACCGTCCCAAATCCTTCATGAAGAGCACAACGAAAGCACTGCCTAATGGGACGGCGGGATCGGCGGTCACTGCCCCCTCGGCCACCATTCAGAAGCCCAAGCCGCTGTCGGCCAAGCCATCATTTAGCGGCGGTGGAGCGGCTGGAGTACTGGGCAAGCGGGCCAATGGTGGAGCAGCGCCCACGCCCCCAACTGTGAAGGCGGCGGCGCCGTCGACTGGGCCAAAGTCCAACATTGCATCGCTGACACAGCGATTCGAGCAGAGCAAGTAGACTAAGGAGAACTACTATAAGGAGCTAGACCCTGGGCATAGCGAGAAATATTTATTGAAACAAAAAATATGAGGGGGGTACTGGTGGATACATTTAAGAACTGATTGCAACCCTTACTAATTTTATATAATTTAATGCTATCCCTTAAAAGGTTCATATATGTAATAGTGTAGTTCCGTTTCATTGAATATTTATGTACCATAAAATAAGTAAGGAAATATTTTAGAGATGTAAACAATTTTCTTTCCAATTTAAAACAAAATACTACCATGCCCACATGGAAAAATTAGGATAAAATTTTAACTTATATTCTCTGCCATTGTGTGATTGTTGGCTATGCTCTTGGTCTGGCTAAATCTAAATCCCCACCCTGCGTGGAATTGACTTAAGTTTTAGTTAAGATACGATCAAATTTTATTTGGCACTGACTATGACTACGACTGCGTCGTCTTTGATATTCATTCCTTTACTGATGTCCCACTAGTTAGACGTAAGACGTTGCTTAACTCATGTGCTAAGTATGTATCTCAATGGTTAATGTTTAAGCGCTGCATGTGAAGTTTTATTTTAGCCCCTAACGATAGCCGCGTACTTGTATCTGTATCTATACTCTGCTAGACGGTAATCCCCTGTATTTATGTATATGTTTATACGCAATATGCTTTTGTAAATAAAAACCAAAGAAGTTCAATTGTCACAACAAATGCGCCGCATCGAAGTAATCAATTAAAAACGTGTTGTAAAGCTGGGGATATTGAAAAAGTAATTAAAGGAGTCGTTTCAGTAGCGAATTCAATTTAAATTCTCTCAATGTAGTTAAGAATTGTGTTGTGCTCCATATGTTAGAACGATATCAAATGTGTATAGAACCGAAGTTATGTTAAAATATATGTTTAACTGAATTTAAAAATGAAATTGTGTTTGTATTTTCTGAGGAAATTCGATATAAACTGAAAAATATTTCTTTTCATTTTGACATTACAAGACTATTATTTTTATTAACCATATTTTACATATACTTTGGATAAACAAATAAGTTGCAATTAAGCTTTGCGCTGGCGCTTTGCTTTAGTGGGTCCTTGGGGAGTGGACATTGCCTGGGCTTTTGATATATCCGTCGAGGACAGATCCGGTGCCTTGCCAGCCACCAGTTTCTTGACCGCTTTGACTTTCGGCCTGGATGTCTTGGGCTGAGCCAGAGTTCCGATGGACTTGCGGGGTTTTTTCGACTTTCCAGCTTCGGATAGTTCCTCATTGACCTTAGTTTTGGACTTCGCTGGCTTCTTTTTCGCTTCTGGGCTGGTGGTTTTTGGAGTCTCCAGCAAAGCTTGTGCGGCAGCGGATGCGGCTGTCTTAGATGCTGGTGGTACATCCTTGACTCTGTCTTCTTTCTTCTTTTTTCCAGCCTGCGGGAAAATTCAGATTTACTATTACTACTAAGTCATTTTTAACTTATGAAGCTAAGATAAACTATTGAGTTCCAAAGACAACTTATTTAAAAGCTTAGACTTTTTTTATCGGTTCTTACTTCTTTCGTTTTCCGCTCGCTTGGTTTGCTGGATTTTTCCTTGGCAGCCTTCTTTTCCTTAGTCTTCGCTTTCGACTTGGCCTCTTTCTTCTCGGCTTTCTCCTTCAGCATTTGTTCGGCTTTGGCTTTCTTCTCTTTTTCTTTCTGCTTCTTGGCCTTCATTTTCTCCACAGCCTTGGAGGAGATCTTCTGCTTTTCGGTGAGTTTAAAGGATCTCTTGACCATGACCACCTCCCCATTTTCCTCGGCAACCTTGAGAGCCCGGTGCATAAGGCGACCGGTTTTCTTTGGATCCTTAAACTCGTGACCATTGTCCTTGAGATATGATATGATGGCCGGAACCGAAGATCCCGATCGACTTGCCAGTTTTGCAATGGCCATGAACGCTAGGGATATTAGCGATCCTTTCGGTTTTGGTACCATCGACTTGGGTGGTTCCATTTTCGACCCATCTTCGGGCGGTGGAGTGGGATAAGGATGGGGAGCATTATCGGATTCGGGCTCTTCTTCATCCGGCTGCTCGTCATCATTCACCATCTCTTCCTCATCCTCCTCCAACTGCTCTTCTTCTTCGCCCAAATCGGATTCTTGGGATTCAGGATTATCATTGTGCATCTCCTCCTCGCCCTCATCGTCCGAGCTATCATTATGATCAACGATCTTCAGTTGCATGACAATATGTATATGATTTAACAAAATAAAAAATACAAATTAACAATTTTTAAGACGCGAGACAACACTTTTTGACGCTGTGACAATGATAAAATGCAATGGCTATTGGGCGGTCAAAATACTGAAGAAACGGTAACAAAAGTTCCATCAAAAGGGAAGAAAATTGAGTAAGTACTGGTCAAACTTTAAAGATGGAACCCTTTCTCTTTTTTTACTTACTCAAAATAAGATATCCTCTATTTTCGTTTTTGTTCTTTGAATTATATATATTTAAAGTACTTATAATTTACAATCCCTTTTTTTTTTATGCATTATTTTTGCACTATTGAGCGCCCACTGTTTTTATGTAATGATAAAGCAAACCGAAAGAAGTTTAGAAAAGAGAGCTTTTTAACAGTAAATAAAAGACCAATGAAGGTGAAAGATAAGTGCTTAAAAACTAGTTACGTATATTTGTTAATTATGAATAAATAACTTACCTATTTAATTGGAATTTTTAAAAAATACATTTATATAATTTTATTTGTGTTTATTAAATGTTGTTCATCAAAATAATACAAACCAATAAAACAAATATATATTTTAACCAAAAAATGTTTAAAAATATGTTCAATTAATTAAAGACGCTTTTAAATTTGGCGCCCATTTTTAAGACTTATCGATTGTTTGATGGCATTTAAGGATACTTTCCAAATGGTAACACTATAAAACAAGAATTTCCGAAAATGAGCGCACGGAAGGTAAACAATTTGAATTTTCTGTTTTTTAACGTGAATAATGAGGAATTAATGGTCTAGAAAACCTGGGTGAGATGCGCTTTCAGCGAGATGAACCTCACCGCCAGTCCGGTGACCTCGGAAGCAACGCCAGCGAAGCGCACACGGAGTGCTAGCAATGTGACCACCAGAGTCTCGAGGTCTCAAAGCGGGAATACTCCTAAATCGACGCCAACCAAAATTCCTGCCGTGGAATCCGTGGATCTCACTGCCATAGATGATGACCAGGAAGCGGACATCACTGGACCACCGCCGGAAGTCAGGGAAAACTGGATGGACAGTTTTGCGCCAGCCACCAGCGAAGATTTGGCCGTGCATCCTAAGAAGATTAAGGAACTTCGTGATTGGCTGCGTCACTGTGAAGCGGTGCGAAAGAAGTTCCCGGCCCAAATGTGCCTACTCACGGGACCCACGGGTGCCGGAAAAACCGCCACGCTACGTTGCCTGGCCAAGGAGTTCGGCTTCCAGGTGCAGGAGTGGATCAATCCTGTTGACTGTGAGGTGGTCAATGCTCTGGGCGATCAGCCGAGTGGTGCCTCCTATGTGGGCTCCCACCTGGAGGCCTTCAAGAGCTTCCTGCTGCGCGCCTCGCGTTACAAATCCCTGCTGGACTCGCAGAACAAGAGACTGCTGCTCGTCGAGGACTTTCCCAACGTCCTGCTCAGCGATAAGGAGGCCAACTTTGAGGAGTTACTAGAGTAGGTAGCAAAGCCTATATAATCACCAATTTCTTATTCGAAAATTTATCTTTTCAGTGAGTACTCGCCCTATGGCAAATCCCCGCTGGTATTTATTGTGGCCGACTCCAAATCCCGGGGCTTGAACATCAGCTACCGTCTGTTTCCTGATCAACTGAAGGCCAAACATCGCATTGAGCATATCAGCTTCAATGCTATTGCCTCCACAATTATGCAAAAGTCCATGAAAAGCTTCTGCTCTATAATGCAACAGCCGCAAAATAAAGCAACGTACAAGATGCCCTCGTCCTCTGTTGTTGATTCAATAGTTGTGGGAGCCCAGGGCGACATAAGAAATGCCTTGATCAATCTGCATCTCAGTTCCTTAAAAGGAGTAGCCAGCATGCCAACCAAACAGTTAAATGTCAGTGTGGCCACTAAAGGTCGTAAAAAGAAGATGCAAAGCACCCTGAAGTCAATTGGTAGAGATGAATCCATTACTTTGATGCACGCCTTGGGAAGGGTTCTGAATCCCAAGTGTAAGTCACATTGAATAACCTCTGTCCTGACACCTCTAATCCTTTAATTTATACAGTCAATGAGGACAAAAGCATGCTGCACAGCCCCGAGGAACTAACCGAAGCCTTCAACACAGAGCCCAGGAATTTCGTGAACTTTATACATGCCAATTATCTGCCACATTTCAAGGATATCGAGGAAGTTGTGACCGCCATAAATGACTTGGGTCTGTCGGATGCCATGCTCAATGAGTACCGGGATGATGCCCTGTCCGTAATGGGTCTTAACCTAGCTATAAGGGGAGTTATGCTGGCCAACAGCTCCCCTGTCAGCGGTTGGATGCCAGTTCGGGGACCAAAACGAATCAATATCCAATCGCAGACTTCTTTGGCCGAACAGAGACTGCTTGGAGTGGGTTACGCGGGCATTTCCAGGACGCTTTATGCCACCGAATACAGCTCCTTGGTGAAGTGTATTGCTGGCCAGCGTTCGGAGGGTAAATCAAGCCAAAACAAGGACTAAACTAGGAAAGTCTTTTAGCTTAATTTATAAATAGTTTATAAAAATACAATTTATCTGTTGGAACTGAAATATGATTATGGAAAGAGTAAATTTATAAAGACGTCCTTAGGACACTTTTAGAAACCAAGTTCATTAAATAAGCATCCCACCAAAATAAAATCAACACGCAAAACCTATTCGAATTCACGATTTAACTTTTTATTTACCTACAAATCGAGTTTTCATTATACAAAATTCCATTAAAATCAACGCGTCGATGCAACATCTCAAAGTATTGTACACCAGGCATACCAACTAAATTACCATTGGGAGGCATTGCTTGCAGTTGATAAAATAATGCTAATGCTTTCACTGAATGATGAACTGATGATTGAAATGAAATCCGCGCGTTGTGGGCGCCCACAGATGACTTAAGAACTAAACAAGGTTGCTGTCCACATGTCGCCACATTCTACCACAATTGAGTCTTCTATTTACACAGGTCGATGTGACGCACACGATCCTATTTGACCACTGCATCGCCTGGCTTGGGGACATCGGTGGAGTTGTCGTCCTCGTCCATTTGGTTGCCGTCCAGCAGGCGCTGACGCTCCTCGTCGTTAGCATGGCCATTAAGATGGATTGGCGAACGGGATCTGGAGCGGGTTCTGCTCCGCTCATGGCGTTCGGCATGCCCGTTGGCAATGTTCAGCCCGGCCACGCCCATCTCATGGGCATCGCTGCTGCTCGAGGATGTGCTGGAAGTGGTGCTCGACGTGGTGCTGCTGCTGTCGCTCTCGCTGTCCTCGCTGGAGGAGTCCATGGGTGTGGGTTGGGGCTGCTGAGGCGGCTGTTGTCTGGCCTGCAGCTCGCAGGCGGAGCTGGGCGTGGGCGCCACCGCAGAGGGCGGCGAGGCAGCAGCGGCTGCGGCTGCTGCCGGTCCCGCTGAAGTGGAGCACGAACGCAGGAAGTGGGAGCGAAGAACTAGAAAATAAAGTAGAAATTTATACATATATTCTTGAGGGGAATTATGGCTTCTCTCACATTGATTCTCCCTCGTCAGCTGTCGCATCTTCTCCTCCTGCGCGCGTATCTTGGCGCCAAACTCCTTGGACACATTCTGGGCCTTCGAGTAGCGATCCTCGATCTGCAGGCACTCCTGGATGAGCTCCTGCTTGCTCATGGTCTCCAGTCGTTCGAGTCGCGCCCGCTCGTACACATTGGAGAACTCCTTAGAGAGAAAGAGCACCTGGTCCTCGGTCTGTGAGCCAAAGCAATTGTCGTCGGAGTCGTCTTTGTGCAGCTCGGACATGTGCTCCTCCATGAGGAAGCGGTTGGTGTTGTACGGGACGAGCAGGGATCGGGAGCGCACCAGCTTGGTGCGGCTATTCTGGCGGGTGTTCCCCTCGAGCGTGGCTCCCGCACCAGCTGGCATATCGAGTTTCCACTGTGGATAGTGGTTCTTGGTCTTCTTGGGCAGCATCTTGGACTTTTTGCCCCGGCGATGCTTTCTTTTGGGCATCCCTGCTCCTCCGCCGCCGCCGCCTCCTCCTCCTCCACTACCACCCCCTCCTCCTCCTCCGCCACCATCCAAAGGTCGCTGCTTTGCATTACTTTCTGCAAAAAAAGAGGAGACAGCCAGATTCAAATTAAAACCGCCAAAAAACTCGAAATGCAACTCTGCCAAACGCAGTGGTACGAAGAAAAAACAATTTAATAAGACAGTCGATTGTGGCCTGCCTTCATCAGCCCACTGAAGATTTTACCTTTTTTTACAGCTTCTGCCATGTTTCCAACTCAATCAGCACTTAATTAACACTTTTGTTGAAACTTAGATTTTTTTTGCGAGTTTGTAAGCTTGCAAAAATTATTCTGTTTTTTTATTCTCTTTTGCAATGTGACCAGGTCCTGCAACCTGAAACACGCAGGAAGTTCTCCGCTCACGCTAATAAAATCCCTCGTTTGCAGCCACATTCAAAATACGTGGCGGTAAATTCAAACAAATAATATTTGAAGTCCCTTAAAAACGAAACTGAAATGTAGGAAGAATACAAATTGTTATCAAATAATTTTTAGTTTTAAACACTTTTGTATTTGTTTTGTATATTTATTTTATTTAACAGATGTAATTTGGCACCAAACATTTACTGACATTCGTTGTGACCGCAAAGATCCCTTCTACGCCCTCAGGCTGTCGTGAATCCAATCGATGTAGGAGGCCACCCGCGTGTAGACATCCGGCCAGTTGGGATTTGGACAGGGCACGGGTCCGAAGGACACCAGTCCGCCCAACAGATAGCCCTCGTTCTTGAAGAGCATCAAAGGTCCTCCGGAGTTGCCGTGGCACTCCTTGGAACTGGTCAGCCCACAGAGCTGGGAGGCCTGGATATTCAACTGGTGGCCGGCGTACTTCTTCTGGCACTCCTCGATGGAGGTGATGGTCACAGAGCTCTTCCGCAACCTGGGCGAGGAGGTGGCCTGCCATCCGGCCACCTCGGTGACCAGGCCCTCCAGTTCATCCGCTCGCAGTTGCTTGTTGGGCAGGCAAATGGGACTCACAAAGTCGTTGAACTGGGCAGGAGTGGCCAAGCGGACGAGGGCAATGTCATTGACTTGAGTCTTGTCGGTTCTCGTGTACCGGGGATGCGGCAGCAACTCCTCGATGCCTATATCCTGGTATGTAGGAGCACAATCCGCCACCTGGGTGTCCTGGTGGAACTGGCAGTCCGGATTCGTGCTGGTATCCCATTCTCCCAGGCGAACCGCCGTAATCTGCAGATTGCTGGCCGCCGCCTGGGTTACACAGTGGGCAGCAGTCAGCACATAGCGATTGCTGATAAGCACTCCCCCGCAGGCGTGGATCTTCTCTTGGTTGCCTGGAGGGGGAAATGAAGTTACTACATATCATATAAACCCAAGAAAAACCCCGCAGTAACTCACCCCGGGTATACTCGATAAGGGCCAGCCAGGGAAACTCCTTGATCCGCGTATCCGTATCATTTGAACGTTGCCAACGAACCATCCCGCAATCCGTGGGCAATAGTGGGTGGCTCAGGGCTCCCAAACCGGCGGTACTGGGGCAACAGACCTAAGAGTTACAATGAAACAAATTTGAATGAATGGTAATGAATTTTCTTTTAAAAAACCCATATGTTTGAAAGAACTAAGTTTTAAAATACAATTCTTACAAAACTATCCAACTCTATCCATGTTTTGTAGTTAAATCTTAGACTTACAATAATTCATATTATAAGTTTACTGGGATAATGCAATAATAACTAACCATTTAACCAAGTTATGAAGTTAAAATTGGAAACTTTAATAATCCCGAAAAAAGGTTTCCTAATTAATAAGTAAGTTTACATGGTTCGTTATTTAAACTTTAATTGGAAGGAAATAATTATGGGAATTACCTTGAAATGATAAGTGCAAAGCTTACATAAATATCTCCATTGTTTAATGAAACAAACAGAGAAAGATAAACAAAAAAGGCCTTTGTAGTCAAGGTTTTCGAAGGGAAAGTTGCCGTACTGCTTTCCAAAGCACTTATTAAAAAAAACATTCCACTATTTTTGATTGAGATTCCTCAATCCCATTAACAATTTCTTATCTGTAATGATAAGAACCACAGAGCTTCTTTTGTCCCCTCGATCGTTTTTTGAAATCCGAAAAGTGGGCTGAATCAGTGAAAGTGAAAACGAGAACAGGCCTATATAAATCGAGCTTTTGTTCGCCGCGCTTAATGGATCGAGTTGTGGAAGTTTGAGTTTAATCGGGAATCTCTCCGGTGAATCACCCACCTGGACGCCGTTGGCCCGCTGCCCGCACTGATTCTCGCGGAGAAGAGTGCGATCGCTCTGGGAGAGATTGGCGGATACGAGGATCTTCATAAAGTAGTCACAGTCACGGATCGAGATGCAGTGACCGGTGACCCGGCCACTAGGGATTTTTGATACACAATTGATGGGGAGTTGAGCTGGAAGAATTAGTTCACTGCCAGACTTGTTTACGATCGTTGCGTATGCCGTACACACTCACCATTCGCGCCCAATGCCAGCGAGCCGACAACAACAAGTAGAGCTGGAAAACTTCCCATGCCGGACCGGATCGATCAGATACGATACAGTATAAAGTATAAAGTATACAGCTTGGGGGAACGGAACGAATGAGACTGCGATTGCGACTGAGCTTAACACTAAGTTCGGCCTGCGAAGCGCCTCTGCCTGTGAATTACCAGAGAGTCGCTTTCGCGCGATAACATAATCGTAGTTGTGCAACGCTTTTTAAGCCCCTGCACTTAGGCATATGAATTCTATATAATTAGTAGATCCTAAATTATATTAAAAGCCACTACATGTAACTCTTTAAATTAGGGATATTTCAGAAGGTTTTTTAATATCTAACTATGATATATAAAATGGATTATATCCTAAGATCTCAATTAATTTGTACATTTTTACTTGACTTAAAATTTGTAAAGTTATTATTAACTTGAATGTAAGTATTATGTCATGGTAATCAGTATTATTTACGGAACTCAATTGCCTAAAGGATATTTTAGCTTATAATAACTAAGATGAAAATGGTAATAATGTAAAATATGTTGATACCTTGCGTTAAAAAATTAGACACATGATCGATTCTGGTTTTGTTACTCCATATATTAAAATACCTTTACAACTATTTAAGCGCCAAAGAGAAATTCGGTATATTTTCTGTTTCCAACAACTATTTTATTCTTATCACCAAATCCAATTTCAAATATCCGTTAATTTAGGTACATTCCTACAGCGCGGTACACTCTACGCCCTCCCATCGATCCGGCAACGCCATGCACAAACACACCCAGGTACTGGTTCCGACTGGCCGTGTGTGTGTCTGTGCGCGCGCCTGTGTTAGTGCGGAGAGTGCACAGAGCTGTCCGCCATCTTGTCAGCCCGTGTTCTCTCAGCCCGACTGCATCGAAAAATTACAAATTTAATCGTTAAACGCGTTGAATGCCCAATTAAAACACCAGAAAGTGCTGCAGTACACATTTGCCCACAGCCAGGATATCGTCTTGAGTACGCAGCGCCAAGATAAAGGGGTGAAAATTGCATTTGAAAGTGGAATTGTTGGTGCGAAGAAAAATTTTCTGCAGCAAAAAATTCCCAGGTCTGTGCTGGCGTAATTGTGTGTGTGTGTGAGAGACGGGCCAGGGTTGCCGAGGTGACCGCCCAAAAGTGCTTAAAAGAGCTTATTTTGGAGTTCATTCAGATGAGTTGGCTTTAAATGGGTGCGGTGAAGTGTTTTTAATTATTTAAGAGGGCTGTGTATTTTTTCCATGCCAATAATCAGCTTATTTTGGCCAGCTTATCAGTTCAAAGTGCGCTGACAACCCTGTCCATGGGAAGGGTACTCAAACAACAAAAACCAAGTACGTTGCGCGGCGCCACTTTGACGTTTGAATCGTCATCAGACGGTTGGGTAAATTTTCTCGCTCTCGTCTCGTCGCTCTCGTTTTCGGCCCCACTGTATGCGAGTGTGTGAGTGTGTCTCTGTGCCCCAGTGTGTGTGTGTGAGCCGTGACGCATTCTTGTTTTGCATCAAAAATCGCCAAAGCAAAGAAACCAAAGAAAATCAGCCACAAAGCTGTTAAAGCCCCAAATGATGATATGGCCAGGAATCAAATCGCAATTAAAATTTAAACGACCCTGCATGTGCAACTCTAAACGCAAGTGTTTGTGTGTGTGTGTGTTTGGTGGGGCTGGTGGGGAGGGGGCATGTGGGGGAAGGAAGCGAAAGAGCCACTAAAAGGGAACCAGAAAAAAGGGCGAGGGCGACTGACTGGAAAGAAGAGAAGGTGAAAAAACGGAAGGGGCAACGGGGGGCGGGGAAATCATAAAAACGCCGGCAACAGCGATTCTCGAGTGCCCTCCCCTCCGCTGAAAAACACAAACACACCCACAAACCGCAAAAGCGAATGACAAACAAAACGCTTAACGAAATTCAAAACGCGCTCTCCCCACCAAAAGTTCATTTACACGGAATTCGTAATTTGTTTTGTTTAGTTTTGTGGATTTGTTTATTGGCAACATATGTGCATATGTATGTGTGAAGATGACCCTCCGCCCCCCACTGCCCCCTTCGGCAGTCATTGTGTGTTTATATTGCCAAAATCTTCACGAGTGTTGAGTAAAGTCCGTGAGAAACCGAGACAATCGTTAACTTGGCTTTAACGGAACAGATGTGTGTGCTTTTTTTTTTTGATACCAACAACAGCTGCCGCTCACTAACAAAATCAACAACAAAATGCAAGCCAAAAACCGAAAATTTCATACACTTTAATTAAAAAAGCAAATAGTGATTGTAAACCTTGGTTATTTTATTTTGTGAACGCTTTTGTATTAACTTTATTAGCCTGATAATCGTGGCACGGTTATAAAATAATAGTAATTCCATTAATGTTTGTGATTACTCAAAGGAAGTTTTTATACAAGCTTATAATCATCTTGCAAACTACTTTTGGAGATAAAGCTTTAATAATATAATGGATATTAATATATTAATGAAAAGAAAATGGACTTTTTAAATGGATCTATAAAATGGAAAAGTGGTGTATATGGTATAAACAGCTCACATTACCTATAAACATTAAAATTCAATTCTCGTTTTAAGATTAATATTGTGTATTAAAAGTATCCTTCATAGCAAGATATTACAAATATCCGTCATAAAATTTGGATGGTTTATATCGTATGGCAAAGACAAAGAAATAAAACCTTAAAGATTTTGTTGATTTTTGATTAGAAATAACACCACGTTAGCAAATACTGATTTTAATATTTATTTGAATAAATTAGTGATTCATTTATAAAAACCCATCAATGTTTACTGGTTCTTAGCCGCAAAAAAGCAAAGAAAAGTGAGACAAGATGTGTGAATGTGAAACCCAAATAATAATTGCTTATGAGTCACGATTTTTGGAGTTTGTTTGTGGCCAAAAGCAGGAAAGATAAATGGTCTTCGACTTATGACAACGGTTTTGGCAGCACTTCCAAGGTTTCCCCAGAGTTTTCTCTAGGCAGTGCCCACTGTAGCATTGCTCTGGAGGCAGAAGTGGACGGGCCTACGTGCGATGTAAAAGTGGCCAAGTGGAGCTGCAGATGGAGTATGGAGTTCGTTTGGCTTCGCTGGCTGGCTGAATAAACTGAACCGCATGTCTGGCTCTTGGCTCTTGGCTTTAACCCCCTACCCCTGCCCCCGTTTCACCACCCCATCTGAATCTCCATTTCCAGCTGCCTTTGCGGTGGTTCAGCCTCCCCGCCCCGCCCTTCTGGTTTCCCCCACCCGATCGTCATTATATTACGTTTTTTCCTCTTTTTTTTTTGCTCATTTTTTTCGCTTTGCACAATTTAGCCTTCAGTTTCCGGTTATGAAGGAAGCAGCAAACGGGTTCGGGTTCGGGCCCGGTCTTTCTGCCTCTTTCCCACACTCGCCGACGATGTAATGTGCATTTAAATGCAATTTCTGCGGTTGTGCGTCAATGTCGATGAGTCTGCAAATAGCATGAAAGCCCGCCGAAAATATGGGCATCGTATCTCACTCTTATCGGGGCAGTAACGCAACGTGTTCCGCACTTGAAAACACCAGTCAATCATAGTTATTTTTAAACATTACTTGTTTACATTAGGAGTAATCACTGTCTTATCAATTTGATACTAAATACATTTTTTTATCAAAAATAAACAGGTAAATCGTGATAGTTTGATGAAAAAGATTTTTTAGAATATTACTTATTCTTTTAGATAATGAATATTGTTATTATATAACGTTCTTAAGATAACTTGGGTGTTCCTAAGTTTTTTACCTTTAATAGATCTTTAATGCATTTGTAAGTTTATAATAAACCGTTATCAACAATGTTGTAACATCCCTTACAAATTACCTGTTGAAATATTGAGAAACATTTGTAAAACTACACAGAAACAAGGGTGTTAGGGCCAGGTATTTAAAAATGTGTTGCAAATGCATGCCTAGTTTTTCAACTATTCAACTGGTAGTTCTGCTGTTTTTCATGCTGCCCTAGCTCAGTGAGCGTAACGCCTGGAAACGCTTTGCTCTCGTAATTAACCTCTCGACCGGCTTTCTGCTTACCTGGTCGCTTACTACCTGGCCAAACCATTGAAACCCAGCAGACCTTTGAGCACACACGGTTTCTTGAGCTAACAAAACCGAAACCGAAACCTTCGTGTTCCACGGCATGCGTTTTCCTCGCGGGTTTTCTTCGCGTCTAGCAATTCTGCCGAAAGGTGCCTCAAAAGTTTCCATTAATGTTTGAGTAGCAGTAGACGACTAATCGCCTTGCAAACCCATGAGCATGATCTATTATTCCATTGCTCATGCGTTTTCACATCAAGTGTTCTATCAGTAAGCCTGGGGGCACTTAATTTAAAGTCTTTAAATTAAGGAATCTAAAATTGGAAATGATTCAGGTACTGTTTGAATCGTTCTTTGCTCAAAACTAGTTGGTCGATTTTAAAGTTCTAATGTATTTTTTAGTTGGATGATGATCCAACATTTGCTAACATATTCACTTTGATTGGGATCGCAACGCCCCTAATTGGGATAAGATTAATCAGAGTTGTAGTAATTTAATGAATAATTTATGTTACCCCATAAGTTTTTTTTAGAACCACATGAGCAATTTGTAGGAGTGTTTTTATAAACTTCTTGGCTACGAACAAATTGAAGTTGATTTGCTCCGCATTTTTCATGGTTTCATCATCACCAAAGTACACGCTTGTTTAAAAACAGTTTCATATATAGAAAATCAATAGAAATTTCCCATGCTTCCATTAAAATACCATCCATAATCCCTCTTAGTTTCAGTTCCGCTTTAAACTCAAATTTATTTGCCATTAAAATACCGAAAATTAGTTTAATCGGAATGTCATCCTATGTTGTACTTTTTTCCATTGGTGTTGCAATAAACAGTAATTACAATTCTGAAAGACATTTGGTTTCATGGTTCCATTACTCTGACATCTATTATTTCCCTTCCTAGCCACTCTTCGTTCAGTATAAAGTTTAGACACTAAGAATTAAACATCTAAAGATCACTGATCTCGGTTTTTTTTTTTTTAGCATCCAGCGGCTATTTGTAAGGTTTCTACCCGCTTGTCTTGGATTTTTTGTTCAGGTTCGATGGCTTG